TGCCCACACCAGAGCTGACCCACATGGCGCAACAGACCTCTCCTGACCGGCGGGTCAGCAGCGTACTTCGTCAGTCTGCCTGTTCTGCTCCCCGCTCTGTTTCTGGTGAATCCCCTCGCCGCCCCTGCATCTCTGGCCTGTGCCTGCATAAATAAATAAAATTAAATAAATAAAGAAAGAAGGAATTGTACTCTTTGGCTTTTATGTGGACCAAAGACAATGTTGAATGCACATTAATGAACTAGAGCCGCTAATTAATGAACTAGAGCCGCTTACCTGGAAGTAGTTCATTCTAAAAGTGATAGCTAATATTAATCTATGCCTAATAATTAATGATGAATGTTACCAAACAGATTTTTGTGTTCTTTGTGCAAATACAAAGATTAGTGTCTCCTCACTAAACAAAATTTAGTATGTGGTTTGCTTTATAGATATTTTATACTACTTGCTAGTTTAGTCACCTGAGGAACTTTCTTAAACTTGCTAAGACTGAGTTTCTTCATGGTAAAGTGGGGATGATAACCGCACCTACTGGTTATGGATCTGGAGAGTCAGTACAGATGCTGGCACAGGGCCAAGCACTGGTGAGGTAGCTGCTGTTACCATCACGGTGCTTTCTTTTTCTTTTCTAAAGATTTATTTATTTATGCATACAGAACTGGGGTACAGACCAGAGGTTCAGGGGCAGTGAGAGGATTTACCAGAGACAGAGTGAGGAGCAGAACAGGCAGATCAACGAAATACACTGCTGAGGGGAGCTGCGGGCAGGTCAGGAGAGGTCTGCTGTGCCATGTGGGTCACCCCCTGGCAGGGTATCGAACTTGGACTGAAGCAGCTGCCGCCAGCTTGCAGTGCTATGTTTAACACATTGTGCCACCAGCGAGGGCCTGTATCTCTTAAATCTTTTTAATTCTTTTCTTATTCTTCTCTGTAATACCGTTGATTTGCTAGCAAAGTCATCCTTCCTGATTTGACTGGTTGTTTATTTCCTTGAAGTGTTAATTCTCTGTCCTTTTATTTTTGTAATCTGGTTTTAGATCTAGGCAGTTGATTAAATTCAGGTTAATTTTGTTTTCTTTCATCAAAAAATGCATCTCAAATAGTGCTGTGTTCTTCCTTTGTGTCCTATCAGGAGACATGAAGTCTGCAAGCCCAATTTTAGTGGAGTTGACATTGATCCATCGAGTGGATTTTGTCAATCTGCCCTTTTATTGCAAAGATTTCTTATCAATCGTTACCAATGGTTTTAGCATTCATTGATGATTGTTGCTTAAATCAAATATTGATTTAATATTGCAAATATTGGGTTTGCAATAGTGATTTTCGATATCTATCACTTCTTTTGCATTTATTAGGTTGAATTCTTCTATGGAGGAGAATTTTCCTCTCATTAACTATTTGATAACACTAGAGAAATACCTATAGAAGATACAAAATAGGTACTTAATTTTCCCCTTTCATCAATATTCACAATAATGAGTTCTCAGAATACATGAGAAACCTCCAAATGACCATTTTTATGTACTCACGATAAACATGTAGAGTTTATATCTTTCATGTATTTTAACTTGTTGTAGTCATTATTTTTTTTGATACTCAAATTGCCCCATTTTTTAACAGATTTATTTATTTATGCATACAAGAACTGGGTACAGACCAGAGGCACAGGGGGTGTGAGAGGGTTCACCAGAGACAGAGTGGGGAGAACAGGTGGATTGACTGAGGGGAGCAGCAGGCAAGACAGGAAAGGTCCACCATGCTATGTGCTGTAATTTAACCCTTGTGCCACCTGGAAGGGCCAAATATTGTCCCATCTTAGGCCCAATGGTAATCCCTTCAAGATACTTCCTATGTTCTGTTATGATTCCCATTGGCTGATGATGATTCAAGCATCTTCCAGATTTCATCCTCCAGACACTTGGCTACCATTTCTCCATGGATGAAATTGGAATGGAAAATGATGTTTAGAGACAACAGATTAGGGTTGCTTATTGTTATTGAATTATCACTGTTTCTGTTTTTAAAGATTTATTTTTTATGCATGCAAGAATTGGTGTGTAAACCTTAAGTGTGTATGTGGGGGTGGGGGGGATGGTTGAGAAGACTCACCAGAGAGAGTGGAGAACAGAACAGGCAGATCTACTGTACCTGCTGAGGGGAGCAGCGGGTGAAACAGGAGAGGTCTGCTGCACCGTGTGGGGTCAGCTCCCTGGCCAGGGATCAACTTGTGCTGCAGTGACTACAGATAGCATGACAATGCTGTGTCTTTAACCCCTGCACCACCAGGGAGGCCCAGCATTGTCACTGTTCTGTCTTTTTGGTTGACAGGTTTTTGTTTTGAGAAAAAAATTACAAGTTTAGACTAATATTTTCAAAGCAAATTTAAGATGTATTTTTACTTGATTTCCTTAATTTGACATTTATATCTATTTTCCCTTTTGCTGAGAAGTGTTTTTTCTTGTGATATTAGCATAATTATTTGTTTTGTCCTAACATATACTAATCCTCATTTCAAAACAATAGGTGTGTTGCTACTATTAATTCTGTTACTCACTGTACTTTATCTGTCCTCATTTCTTTGCCACAAAATGCAACACGCAAACATAAAAGCGCCTACCTACATATTTTGATGATCATTGTATGTCATTATACTGAGGTCTTGCTTTTCCCTTACTACAGCATATTATTTTATTATAAATATATGTAGGTTATTTTTAATGTTTCTGACAGAAACTTTGCATTATTCCTCATGTTATTATCTGTTGAAAACTGGTGATAATCTACATGTTCTAAAAAGGTTATCATTAAACCAGAATTTCCTTATAATCTGGTTAAATTTAATAAAGACAGATGGCAAATGCTGGAAAAGGTGCAAACTTTCAACTGAGCATAGTATAATACTTTGAATAAACACCATTGGAGAAAAGAAAAGGGCCCCAAAAATGTAAGCTGGGAAAAGCTAGCTTTAAAGTATCAATAACCTATAATTTTACTGCTAATTAAAAAATGACGGCTATTTGTCTTAACACAGATTCCCCGGAAAAAGCCTGAAGCAAAAGTCTACATGCTAATAGTTAATTTAAGGGGAGGGTATCATTTGCAATCTCAGGAAAGTAGCAGAGAGGGGAAAAGTGAAGTAAGGCAGAGAAGGGAGAACAAATAAATGAGGCAGCTTCACAACAACAGTTTCCTAGTGGTTAAGAACATTCCATGAAACTTCGTGCACTTCTTGATTATGTCACCTAACCCTTGCTGAAAGTTGCTGGAGAAGCCAGAAACTTTGTTGGTCCATTCAAGCTGAAGGCCAGACACTGGGGTGTGTGCTTGTGGGTCAGTTTCATGTGTGGGGCCTCTTTGATCTGTGCGGGTGGGAGGTAGGGGTAACAGTGGCCAAACCACAACTCAGAGGAATGGCTTCTCCCGCCCTGAAGTCTACCAGGCCATGGAGGTAAGTCCAGCCAGCCAATCTGTGTGGCACATTAAATTGGGCCTGATTTACAATCCAAAATGAAATCATCTATCTTCTGTTTTTAGTTAGAAATCTTGGGTAACAAAATCTGTTTCAGATACAGATCTAAAAAACATCTGAAAAAGTCATCTACTATTTTCCCTTAACTTTAACTGACCATAAGTACTTTTATTTTTAAAAATTCTGAAGAATATTTCCCTCACTTGCTCATTCTAGTAACTAAACATAGCATTTAAACCTCAAAGAATAGCATACTTGTTACTAAGTGAATTACCCTGTGCATTAATAAAAATGTGATTCTACAACAATTTCTAAATTCTGAAACTTTTGGTGATTTGAGGATGGTAAAGAAAAATTCAAACCTGGTCAGACACATAACTTTATATAATGAGATTTATAATTTCCCTTTAGAAAGAAATCACATTTCTGATAAAATTATTATATTCAAATTACAATAAATTCTAATGAAATTAATGAATATTCTGAGTAACCACCTTCTCTTACTCTGTTGTCAGTCAAAAGTTTAGTGACCTGTCTTAGTGTCACTAGTTACTTTTTAATTTTTACTAAATATCTCTAAATTAAGTTAATCTTTAAATTATTCAGCTTTGGGTCTCTTGTGGAAATTTTGACATAAAACTTCAATTTATGTGCATATAATGTGAAGGGTTTTTTTAAGCCATCATGAGATTCACATAGCAAAATCTATAAATATTGGTGTAGTAACAGACATGACTATGTGTGTGTATGTGAGTCCCACATTCTTTCTCATCCTGACTACCATATTGTAATTACAATAATTCTAGAAGCCTCTCAGAGCAAAAAGTTCTATTCAGAGGTTGCAAGCGAGCTTGAACTAGTTTCTTGACTTGCTGTGCTATTAATACAGTAAACATTAATCACACTTATGTGGAGGAGAGAGAGAGAGAAAGTGGTATTTCAAGCAAAACCTCTCTCTCCATCATTGGTAACATCATTTTCTATATAGTAAGAACACAGGTGCTCACTAAATAATTTTGAGATCAATGAATGAATGACCATCCCTCTGGGACTATCAGATATACTATTTCTTCAAGGCAAAGAGATGTAGTAGATATCTCCAGCTTTCTTCCTGTTCTAGGACTCTGTGGTTTCTTTGACTATTAAGAATTGGCCAGATTGCAGATGTATCCTAAAATTTGAAAGCAAAATGCTTTCAGATGAAAGGCAAGGAGAAAGTATTTCTCAATATGTCCACTTTAGCATCAGAGAAGCCTAATAAATATTATCATTTACAAGGAGAAGAAATGTAAAGTGATTTAAAAGAAAAAAAAAGTGACTACCTATAGCACCGTGACTGGAATAAGAACTTTGCCAACTTTTCTTCTACCTGATAATTAGCCACCCTGTTTTCAGTTGTGCTCACAGGACTAAGGACAGCTGCCTTTCAGCTGTACAATTTCTTAAACCGATAAAGAAAAACTGCTGAAGTCATGAGGCTGTTCAAGGCAGAGCCCCATGTGAGTCATATGAAAGCTGCACCACTGCTGACCTCTGGCAAAAAGGGAGTGACTGAGGACAGCAGAGGCAGAGGGGGAGAGGCTCAAGTGCGGGCTTTCTCCTTGAACCTAGAAGATTATGGGTCAAGAGCTGTGTGCAAGCACGCTCCAGCCTGGATGCAGCTGCCATGGCTGTTGGGAGGGAGGAAACGCACACAGCTGTCGGAGGAGCGCGCCTGTGACCGCGGAGGCTGCGATCCAGGTATCTTTATCCCCCGGAGGAGCATCTTCCTCTTTAGATAAACCAAGGACTTCAGAGACTCCCTTTCTGAAGTAGGGTCAGATTTTCCAGCAGTAGCTTTAAACCATAAATTAAAAAAAAATCTTATAATTACAGAATCTATGGCTATTGTTATCAACTTAGGGATCTTTTTTCCTTGTAAACCAAAGGGGAAATTATGCTATGCCTGGGGTTACAGGAAACGCACTTCAAGTGAGAAAGTTGCTCTCCTGAAATTGCTGAAGTATTAAATTGCAAAGTTGACCCTCAAAAAGCATGCTGCAGTATTGCTATACTATGGATTCAAAATGTCAGTCATTAGCTCCTGTTTATTAGAATAGTAAACTAGAAAATTATTCTCCCAAAGAGAGAAAATAAAGGAAGGGGGGGGGGGGAAGCCTGCATTAAACAGAAAATTGGAAACCATCCATCTATATAGAGTCTGACTTACTTAAGGATTAAAAGCATTTTTGGGTGTAGAAAAATGTGTTGTTTCAGCAGTTGATAGCATTATGGTCTCTTTTAGGGATCTGACATTTAGGTAAGGACTTGCTTTTTGAGGGTGTAGAAAGCTTAGGAAAAAAATTGAAGAGTGAAAATTAGGCAAATAAAGAAAAAATGATTTATGTCAGCTACTGAGTCTTGACTTTGCAAAAAATCTTATTTTTGTGTTTTCTTTTTTCTCTAGCTAACAGACCTAAAAGAAGCATCATGTTCTATGACTTCATTTCACCCCAGGGGACCTCAGGCTCTCCATGCCCGGAAGTTCAAGAGTAAAGGGCCATGGAGTAATTGTGATTCTTTTCAGGAAGAGGATCTGAGGCAGGGTGTTCAGTGGGTGAGTGAGCAGCTGCTGTTGATCAAGAAGAAATTAACATTGGCTTGTCTAGGGCCACTGGCTGGCCCTTCCAGTGCTGTTACTTAGCAGGCCTTCCCAAGTATATTCTGGGAATACCACTATCTAATTTTTCCTGGGGGGTTGGGGGGTGAGGAGGGAGGAAGGCGGATGTAGGGGAGACCAACACTGAAAAAGTGCTCTTTTTTTCTTTTCCATCTCTGTCCCTGCCCCATTCCCCTTAAACAGAGGAAGAGTCTCCCTTTTGGGGTGGCCTCATCTTACTTGAACTTGGAGAAGCTAGGTGAAGGTTCTTATGCTACAGTTTACAAAGGGATTAGCAGGTGAGTGACTCATAGCTGGTAGAGACTTCAGAGTTGAGGAGTCCACCTCCCCAACCCTCACTTGACATGATAAAGCCAGGTGGCACATGGCAGAAGTTCATGGCTTCTGGGATCTGAGCACAACATCAAGGTCAATAGGAAGTGACAGGTAGTTTGTAGTTTAAAGATTCTAGAAAGGAAAACAAATATATCCTGCCCATATTTCAACCTTTCAGCTGTTATCAGCTTTCCTTTTCTTTAATTCAAGAAAGTAGACTTTCTCTACCAGTGACCCAGAGAACAGTGACTGCTCCTCAGCCAGGTGACACCATTAGTAAGGTGTCTAAAGGATTTTCATATCCCTCCTTAAATCACAGTGACAGATTTTCTGTGGCAACCTTGAGAGTTTCTTCCTTCATTCTTCCACTTGGTCTTCAGGAGAAACTGAAGTTGGTTTCTAAAAAGTATGACATTAAAAAAAACTAATCAACCCTGAGTTTTATACATATGCTAAATATACAAAATAACTGGAGAATGAAAATACTGCTTATCCAGAAGTCAAGTGCCCATTTTGACTGACAACAACCTTTGCCAAACATACTTGAAAACTCTATGGGCTTCACTGCTTTTTAGTCGAGGTGGGAAACTCCAAAGGTCTCAGTTCTTTAATTATGTTACTTCACTGGAGCAAAATTCAAGGCTCAATAATGATTAAATGTTAATTTACAAAATTTAATACAGATATAGCAAGACAGAATATTTATTATTTATCTTACTGCTTTGTGATATTATTTTAACTTAGGACAGACTTTTAGAGAAAATATTTTTAAAATTCATATAGAAAAAGAATTTTATTCACTTCCCTAAGCTGTCTCAGGAACTGAGAATATAAAATACTGCCTTCAAGCAATTTAGCTTAGTAAAATAGCAAAGAATACATTAGAAATACTTCTCCAAATGCACTGAAATGTGGAGAAGTATATTCATGGCAGCTTGAATTATAATAGAAAAAGCAAAACTGTGGTCACAAACACTGACCAATTAATTACCAATGAAATAAAATAGATGTATTAATGTGAAAAGATGTTCTATATTTTAAAAGAAAAAGTCAACATATAGCACAATATCAATCTTGTGATTTCATGTAGAAAAAAGAACTCAGATGTATTATACATGCATAAATTTATATGTGCATAGAGAAGTCAAGAAAAATGCACAAGTGCTTATTAAAAGGAGATACCTCTAGTGGCTGAAACTAGAGTGGAGAAAGAAGGATCACTTGAATTTTTCTTTTTTCCCTACCAAGAAAGCATTACATCTATAATTTCAAAGCAATTTTTAAAATATCATGGTCCTAGGCATTTAATAAATTCAGTATCAATTACCACTCTTAAAACTCTGAGCAAAACAGGAAAAGAATGATAATTCCTATTATGATGTAAAATATTAAGAGCCCACATACTATTTTTTTGTTAAATACTGGAGACATTAACTATTTTTAAAAAGATTTATTTACTTATACATACAAGAGTTGGGGTATAGGGGGGTAGCGGTGTAACAGGATTCACCAGAGACAGAGAGGGGAGCAGAACAGGCAGATCTACTGAAATCCACTGCTGAGGGGAGCAACAGGTGAGACAAGAGAGGTCTGCTGTGCCCTGTGGGTCAGCTCCCTGGCCAGAGATTGGACTAGTGCTTCAGTTGCTGAAGACAGCTTGATAGCACCATCTTTAACCCTTGTACCACCAGGGAGACCTCTGGAGAAATTACTCTTAAGTGAGAGATAGGGCAAAAACGAACACTATCCATTATTGTTAAAGGTTATCATAATGTTGTGTGCTCCTTGGTGGCGCAACGGGTTAAAGCACCACATTATGAAGCTCTTGGAAGACACTGCAGCATGAGTTCCATACCCAGCAGGGAGCTGACCCACATGGCGCAGCAGACCTCCTCTGACCTGCCTGCTGCTCCCCTCAGCAGTGTACTTTGTCAGTCTGCCTGTTCTGCTCCCCACTCTGTCTCTGGTGAATCCTCTCACCCACCACATCTCAGGCCTTTACCCCAGTTTGGTAAGCATAAATAAATATTTTTTATTCATTATATTCTAGTCAATACAGTGAGAAAAATATACAAAATAATTTTTATGAATTATAGTATTTTGACAAAAAGACAGAAAAACCATCTAAGAAACTACTAGAATTATTAATATAGAACAATAGGAAGGTGAATGTTTGTAAGATCAAAATATAATTATCAAAAATTATATATTAAAAACCATTTGGAAATGTAATAAGGGAAATTACTCTCAGAAGCAACAACAACAAATTCATTAGCATAAAAAATGGGCAGAAATTCACATAAAGATTCACCAAGGGATATAAAAAACTTGAAGAAAGAGGCAGGCAGACAGGCAGGTATTCATTCTACTAACAAAGTACCAATTATGTATGGGGACTCCTTGGTGGCACAAGGGGTTAAAGTCTCAGCACTATGAAGCTATCCTCAGCCACTACAGCACAAGTTTGATCCCCAGTCAGGGAGGTGGCCCACGTGATACAGCAGACCTCTCCTGTCTCACCTGCTGCTCCTTCAGCAGTGTATTTCACTCAGTCTGTCCTGTTCCCACTCTGTCTCTGGTGAATCCTGTCACCCTCCTGCACCTCTGGCCTGTACCTCAGTTCTTAATGCATAAAAAAAGTACCTACTATATGCCAGAAACTATTTTAGCCAATAATGATCACTGGAGAACAAAACAGACAAAAATCCCTACTCTTATGGAGTATTCATTCTTGTGGGGCTAAAAGAGGAAATACAATAATTAGTAAAACACTGAGTTTCTCAAAGAGTGAACATGCTTTGGAAAAGAATAAAGCAAGTGGTGTCACTGAGAAGGGAACACTAGAACAGAGACTCAGACATAGATAAGGAGTAAACTGTGTGCATATAAAGTAGAGGAGAGCTTCAGCTAATAACACATCCCTGAGGCTGACACAGGCCTTCTGGAAGGGGAAGTTTGAAAGAGAAGAAAATGGGGAGCAGTTGCAGTCACAGTAGGGTGATTGTATAGGGTCTTATATATCATTACATGAGAAGTTTAGGATTATTGATCAGCATCTTTATACAAAGATGTCAATAATTCTGTAATTTAGAGACAAAATGTATTGTAAATGTTCAAAGGCTACAGTAATTAAAACAGTACATGAGTATAATAAAAGACAGATCAAGGACATTTGACTTTTCTAAGTCCAGAACTATCAAAAATTCAAGTGTTAGTAAGATCTAATGTATAATCATGGTGATCTTTTAAATCAACAGAGAGAAGAACCCAGTAAGTGGAGCTGGGTGATTGTTAGTAATTTGGAAAAAGGAAACATACAATACGAATTCCCAATGGACTCATTTCAAGAGTTACATGAAGAAGAAAACTGATAATAATTTGAAGGGTAGGGACTTCTGTGTGACCTGTAGACTGGAAAAGTATTTGTAATAAATTGTTCAATCAGAATCCATAAGGAAAATTAGTGTCCTTCTAAATATGTTCTAGAGCTCCCCAATGCGGAGACACCTTAATAGATATTTCATTGAAACGGTTACCATTGTCAAATTGCCACAGGGAAGCCTAAAACAAATCAAATGCAATCCTTTATTGTCAGTGCTCTTTGCATCTGTAAAATGTCAATGTGTACTATGACTGTCTAAGAAAGAATAAGAAGAAAAAATAAAAAATATAAACCTTTTTCTAAACATATTTGACTAGGAATCTTTTGTGGAGTTGGGGGGTTTGGGAGAGCTTTCACAGAATTATGCTGAGTAAAACAATTTGAAAATACTAAAACTTTAAAGTTTAGAGTTTCAGAAATGTGATAAGGAAAACAAGAGAAATTGGTGCAGAGTACATGTAAAATATTTTAATAAAAATATTGGGCAGGCCCTCCCTAGTGGCACAGTGGGTTAAGGCACAGCACTGCAAGCTGGCCACAGCCGCTTGAGTGTGAGTTCTATCCCGCCCTGGAGGTGACCCAATAGTGTGGCAGACCTCTCCTGACCCGCCCGCTGCTCCCCTCAGCAGTGTACTTCCTCAGTCGGCCTGTTCTGCTCCCCACTCTGTCTCTGGTGAATCCTCTTACAGCTCCTGTTTCTCTGGCCAGTACCCCAGTTCTGTGTGTGTAAATAAATAAATCTTAAAAGATAAAAATATTGGGCAAACAGGCAAATTACAAAAGAACAGTAAACAATAGAGTTATAAAAAATTCAATTTTATGTTATAAATTTCATAAATTAAAAAAATAAATTAAAATGTGATAATCCTTTTTGCCTACTACATAGTTTAAACATGAAGACTAAACAAAAACAGACCCTCCAAAACCAACCCCACATTTATGGAAGCATGTCAAAGGGATACATGAGCCGAACAAAAAAGTTCCCAAAGGACAAATTTAAGCAACAAAATAAACACACCAGTATTAGCTTTTAACCCAGAGTATAAAATAAAATAAATACTGATATACATAACTGGTACAATAAACTTGTAAATGGGAGAAAAGAGATAAATTTCCTGTGCAGGAGAGTTCCATATCATTTATGTAGATCACCCCCCTCGAAGGAGTGGAGCATAAGTCCCTATTGAAGTGGGCAACTCACAGTGACTGTCTTCTCAAAAGTAGGATGTGGAAAGCAAGTGGGGAGAGTGAAATCACAGTGAAGAGACCTGACAGACACTACCTCCTCCTGGTGGTTAAGACCAGCATCAAAACCCATACTTTATGATGATGATGGTATGAGCGCTTAAAGTAATGTGATAAAGATGGCACTTTATACCTTCCCCAAACTCAGTTGTTACAAGAAACTTCCCCAAGCTCAATTATAATAAAACAGAAAAATTCCAGCAAGGCATCCTATTGATCAGATTGATTGGTAACCCCCCAAATTGTCAAGGTCATCAAAAAGAAGGGAATTCTGAGGAACTATCATAGTAAAGAGGAGACCAAAGAAACATGACAAGTAAATGTAATGTGATGTGCTAGATAAGATCCTGGAACAGTAAAGGTATTGTGATAATTGCAATGCAATATATAAACATATCAAATCATACTTCATGCACCTTAAACTTACACAATGTTGTGTGTCTGTATAGCTCGACTTAAAAACAGACTAACATAGGGCCTCTCTGGTGGTGCAATGGGTTAAAGCTCCAGCACTATGAAGCGATTCACAGCCACTACAGCATAAGTTTGATTCCTCGCCAGGGAGCTGACCCACATGGCACAGCAAACCTCTCCTACTGCTCCCCTCTGCAGTGTATTTAAGTACATCTGCCTGTTCTGCTCCCCACCCTGTTTCTGGTGAATCCTCTCAACCCTGCACACCTCTGGCCTGCACCCCAGTTCTTGTCTGCATTAATCTTAAAAAAGTAAGACTAGACTAATATAAATCAATTAATTTCATAAATGTATACATATCTACCGTGATACCTATTTTACAAGATACAAAAAGAAAGAATAGTTACTGTAAAAACATAGTGGCACAGCGGGTTAAAGCACTGCACTAAGAAGCTTAAGCCACTTCCACACGAGTTTGATTCCCGCCTGCCCCAGAGGAGATCCACATGGCGTGGCAGACCTCTCCTGACCCTCCTGTTGCTCCCCTCAGCAGTGTGCTTCATCAGTCGGCCTGTTCTGCTCCCCACTCTGTCTCTCGTCCACCACATTTCTGGCCTGTACCCCAGTTCTGTACGAATAAATAAATAATCTTAAAAAAAAAAAAAAACTAGACAGGGTAATATACAACCGCAGGTTAAATTTCAAAGCTTAAGCACCATCTAGCATCCATCTGTTTAGCATAGCAATTGACACGAGCGTGTTTAAATTTTGTCTTCCACATGCCCCCAGTTTAAAGCTACACATACGGTGTGCTTACAATTTTGTATTCTATTGTTCACTATCACCAATCTTGCCATGTCTCTATACTTAAATTTTTGTTATGAATGGACAATATTCTGTTGTATTGCTCTATATCACAAATGTTTTAACTGTTCCTCTATTGTTTGTTTCAGCTATGTTTCCTTTTTTCTATTATTAATGATACTAAAAGATATCTTTTATGCATTTGGAACTTTAAAAATCTTTATTAAATAATTTAAAATTCTTTAAATTAGGGGTCTGGCACTTCTGTGGCTTTCCCATGCCACAGTTCCTTCCAACTCTACCAATTTGTAATGCAACCCACAATAAATGCACTTCTCTGCTCCCCCCAAGCCTACTACAGATTATTAAGAAATAATATGTATGGTTTTTTTTTTTAAAGATTTATTTATTTGTGCATACAGAACTGGGGTACAGGCCAGAGGCTCAGGGGCGGTGAGAGGCCTCACCAGAGACAGAGTGGGGAGCAGAACAGGCAGATCGACGAAGTGCACTGCAGAGGGGAGCAGCGAGGGGGTCAGGAGAGGTCTGCCGCGCCATGTGGTCACCTCCGGGGCAGGCAGGAATCGAACTCATGCGGAAGTGGCTTTAGCTTTTCAGTGCTGTGCTTTAACCCTCTGCGCGGCCAGGGAGGGCCCATAATATGGGTTTTGAGAACAGTATTTATCAATACTGTTTTCTTAAATATAGCAAACGTTCAGACTAATATAAGATGCCAACAGCAGAAGAAACTGGATGTGGGGCATGTGGGAACTTGCTGTATGATCTTCTCAATTTTTCTATAACCTAAAATTGTCCTTTAAATGATACCTTAAGATTTAAAAAAATAAATGAAACTGTACACAAGACTGCCCGGTGTTGATGAGGGAGAGCTGGCACAGCCATTGTCATTACCAGTTAGTGCCATGGCCACTCTGGCACAACTTTGGAATAGGCTCGCACAACAACAGTGTACGCACTGCATACTGTTTGGTTGGGCACTTCAACCTCTGCTGTAAAAATAATGGGGGCTGTATGGAAACTTTGATCTACAAATATGATTATTACCATATTTTTAAAAGAGCCAAAAAGTTAGAAACAATTTTAAAGCACTTGGATTTGGCTAATTACATACTAGTGTATTAATAAGATGAAATATTATGTCATTACTAGATATCACCTAAAATAAGAATGAAAAAAGAAAAAGCTAAATGGAGCAAAACAGGTTATGTGTAATGTGATAGGACTCCCACTGTAGTGTAAATTGTATTTAAACTTGTATTAAAATCTCTTGGCATTTAGTGAACAAAATGATGTGGATGGGGAAGAGGAGAGAAATATTCATGGGTCAAGGGCAGATCAGGAAGCACCCAGGAGGCCATTGTAACGCGTGGGCTTTTGGCAGAGTGAAATGTAGAGATAATAGTGTTTTCATAGAGAAATGGCTTGTTTTGACTTTTTTTTAAAAAGTATGTAGAGGTAAAAGTGTTCAAGCAGGGAAGCTACTGGAAGTGAATACAATCATTTAGATGAACATAAATAAAAATAATTCAGCATGGCTCAAAAAGTCCACCAAAGGAAGTAAAAGGAAAACTATGCATAACATATTATGAACAGATGGGTTTGGTGTTTTGGTGGGGAGATTTTGTGTTCTCCAAATGTTCTAGAGTGAATTTATAACACTTTGGTAAAGAGAAAAAAAAAATGTTTTGGTACACATAGAATATATGTATATGATACTGAAAATTTTATCTTGAAAAAATTATACATTCATACGCTGGAATCTATTTTGAAGGAAAGCTACTTTGTTAAGTTTAAAAAAATCTGCTATAAATCATCTCAGTGAGTCCTTTCCCCAATTCTTCTAGGATAAATGGACAACTCGTGGCTTTGAAAGTCATTAGTATGAATGCAGAAGAAGGAATCCCATTTACAGCTATCCGGGAAGGTAAGGACTATTGAAGTGGACTCAAGAGATCTGTTTTAAGTCCTTGATTTGGTTTAAAAAAAAAAAATGGCTTGAGGGCCTCTCTAGTGGAGCAGAGGCTAATGTCTCAGCGCTATGGAGCTCTTTCTTGGCTTCCACTGTGGCATGAGTTCTATGCCCAGCCAGGGAGCAGACCTTTCCAGCCTCATCCGCTGCTCCCCTCAGCAGTGTATCTTAGAAGATCTGCCTGTTCTGCTCCCCATTCTGTCTCTGGTGAGTCTTCTCACCCCCACCCCCACGCCTCTGGCCTACACTCTAGTATGCATAAATAAATGAAAATAAATCTTTTCTAAAAATGCATTGGATACATCCATTCATTATATATAGCTTTTGAAATTTCTAGAAGTAACATTGTAATTACATCTTTATTCTCTATAGCAGATTGCCAAGTGTGTTTACACAAACATTTCATTACTTTCTCTTGAGAAAATTAAGATTCAAACTGTTATTATAAATTCAATGAGTATTTACTAAATATCTTCTGTATTTTGTGCCTTGCTAGTTGTTAAGACTAACACCCCAAAAAAATCCACATAAAAGAGGAGAAAATAATGTAATCACACAGAATCTCTGGGCATTTTGCCTGAAAATAATTGCAGATAAATCTTGAAAAACTCCTTGGAAAGTATATTCTTTTGGTGTTTATATTTTCTCTATACCCTGGATAGGACGGCAAATGAATAAGGAGCCTGGGGTCAGATAGACTTTGGGTTTGAATCTTAGATCTGCCTATCACTATTGATATGACCTTGGTTAGATTTCTTTACCTTTTTTACATTTAGTTTAGTTCGGACAGAGTAATAGAACCTATTTCACTGAGTTGTTATGCAGACTAAATAAGACTATACATATAAAGCACTTTTCAATTTCTTCCCAGAGTTCAACAAATGCTGGCTATTATTACTCAATTTATTCCCTCCCCTTAGTGATGTCTTATTTACCATCAAGATAACAGATAATTTTTAATCTAAAAATCAAGAAACCAATGTAGTGAAAATAGGTCATTAAAAGGCTGCTTATCAGCCTTTGACATGAACCATTTGAAATAAAAAGATAAGGTTGCTATCCATCTCAGAGAAATGAATTTCCTGGTCTTCATCTCCTATTTAACTCCATTTCCCTTCTAATAAGCAGCACAATATATGCAGAGATTATTGTTGGGTGTTGTAAAGGGTGAGGGGGGAAAAAAAAGATCTGATCTTTTCTCAATATCATTTTCAGTCTTAGAACAGATGATTCAAGTTACAAGTGTTATAAGGGAGGTTAAAATAAAAAAGACATTGTAAACTAAGATGAAAACCAGTCAGTCTCAGTGTGGCTAATGGAGTTAGTAGATTTTGAAGTGAGTCTGGAAAGCTGGGTTATGCAAACAGGCATGGAAAAATAATTCAGAAAATGAGTTTATAACTGAATTTGATGCCACTTCCAAAACTCTTTCAGAGCCTCTGGGAAATACGTCATTTTGAATTTAAGTAGAAGGGTCATATGGCTTTGGGTTAGCCAGCCACTCAGCCTGGTGGGATCAGGTGCATTCTGGAGGAAAGCATGGTTTTAAGTGTTTAATATAATGAAGGCTGCATTTACTAATGCACTTATTAGTGGGCTCAATGAAAGAATGATCAGATTTAGAAACAGACATGTGGATAGGTTCAAAAGCGTTTCTGAACATATTGGAAATCCCCAGGTCCACAGCAGAAGAAAGTGTCTCTAGGCTTGGATTATTTTCCTGTTGTTTCCTTTGTGTGCTCTTGAACTTACTTGTTGCCTATAGGGCTTGTCTGGCTCTGATTTTGCCCACAGCCAAGTTTTCAGGTAAAGACATTTGACTTTAACAGTGAAACCTTCTGCTGGTTTTGCTAACAGATGGTTCTCAGCAAGGTTCAGAAAAGCTGGATCTGTATTGTTCTATATGCTAAATGTTTCTTTTATTGCATATTTACCAAGGAATTGCCTCTCCACCACAGGTGTTTGCAATTACTTTTAGTATTCAACTGTGAACTTTCTTGGTTTGTTTTATGGACTTACCTTACTGAATGCTTTGCTTGTATAATATTAAAACCACAAAAGGATTTTTTGACACATTGGAGGTTATTAGGCATCCAATTTCCAACAATGAATGTTTCTTTTCTCCACCAGTATAAAGGCTGGGGGCCCAGGTTTGAGGAGTCCTCTCCCCTCAAGAAGATATGAGGCCCTGCTTGAAAACTTTGGCACTGTCCCATTTTTCCTGCAAGAACTTCAAGGATGTGAGACCACGGAGACAGGAGGTTAAATGAGAAGGGCTGGAAGGCAAAATAAGAACAGCTGGAGTTCATTAGTTAAAATCTAGGGTCACTAGCTAAAAAGGCAACCGAAAGCCACGTGCAGACTTCTTTAAAAAGCCTTGAAGCAGTTATTTTCCCAACAGTTTGGCTGCTGTGATGGTGTATCAGCCAAGATTTATTAAGTAGGATTTTACTGCATGTATGGTCCCTCTCTACATAGTTAGAATACATGTGGCAGTTTATTAATCAGGTCATTTAGAATACTTTTGATCTTAATGAGTAATATGAAATTAGCAAAAAATATGAACAGCACTAAGGAAAACATATCTTCATACATGTGCCAGATACTTTTCATGTGTTACCTCCTTCAGTCCTCTAAACAGTCTTTGGATATATATCACTGCTAGTTTTCCAATATGGAGCCATTATTCAAACCGAATCACTGTGATTCAAAAATCCATGCAACTCTCTATACATTCATTCTACAAACATTTGTTGAGCACTTTCTATGGCCAGACGCTGGCCTGATTGCGGAACACAGGATTTCCCACAAGAGACATATTTCACTGCCCTTTCGGTAGCGAAAACTTTAGCTACTGCGATAGTAACTAAAACAAACAAACAAACAAACAAACCAAAACTGGTTCTAGAATTTATACATACATACATATCTATGTATATATAGTTTGTCAAGTGATCTTTTACTGAAGCATTTTCCTTTGCGGCTTTTAACCGGCTTTTTTTTTTCTTTAAAGATTTATTTATTTATTCGTACAGAACTGGGGTACAGGCCAGAGATGCGGAGGGTGAGAGGATTCACCAGAGACAGAGTGGGGAGCAGAACAGGCAGAGCGACGAAGTACACTGCTGAGGGGAGCAGCAGGCTGGCCAGGAGAGGTCTGCCTCGCCATGTGGATCTCCTCCAGGGCAGGCGGGGAACGAACTCATGCAGTAGAGGCTTAAGCCCCTTTGTGCTGTGTTTTAACCCGCTGCGCCACCAGGGAGGGCCATTAACCGGCTTTTTAAACCACTCCGCTGCATCACCACTGATGTCACGAATGACGTCAGGAAGGTGGCCGCATCAACACTGCAGCCGTCAGACTTGCGAGCCCCAAGATCTCTTTAATGGTGCATAGATTTCTCTAGTTAAAGATCAGCCCCGCGTTTGTCAGGTTATGTGGAGACAGCCATCGGAAGCCATCGGATATTTTCATCATCCTTAACGTATTTCTGCATCTTTTTGTCTCCTGGCAGGTCCTTAAGGTCTTTGATGATGAGGCAGAGGCAGAAGGCAAACAGGTCCACCTCAGTCTGGACCTGTCTGTTATGCCTGGTCAGGTTCCCTGTAATTCTCAGACCCTTCCAGTCACATGTTACCTTGGTGATGCTATTGCCAATTTTGCGGGGGTGTGGGGAAGTACATACCTCAGGGGCCAATCTTGAGAAGGAGAGCAGACCTGGTACTGAGTTCACCACTGGTGCATCTCAGGCACATGACTTGAATCTCGTGGGGGTTGAACTTAAGTAGCACATGGAGCAGCTGGTGTGAATGAAACTGAATTTGGGTTGAAGACAGTCACACCTTGGTCTCCTCTCTGTCTGGCCTTTATTAATTCAGCCCAAAGTCAAAAGACCTAGAATTGTATATTTTATGTTCATTTTTAAAATCAGCAGGAAACATTTTCATTCGAATAGGCTCATTATTTTAAGTTTTTATAAACGAATATTTTCACTACTTTTATTAGACTATCAACAAACTACTAATGTGCATCATTTTAAGTATCTTTTTTAAAAGTAGGAACTTTTATTTAAACCCATGGCTTTCAGCCTCTTAGGAGCATTTGTTTAGGAAATAGTCTAGAATTAACCTTTTTGAAAACTATACCAATGATACAATTTCCCATTCTCCATACCCCATTACCTTTTTTTTTTCTTTTTTAACTCTGATAACAACTCTGGGAGGTAAGGGAGATTACTTTTGTTGTGGAGATGAAAGAATCTGCACCTCAGAGATGTTAGAAAATTTTCCTGAAGTCTCAGAAATAATAATCAGTTGTTAGAATCCATCCCATTCTAGTAAATATCCTTTCTAGTTCATTAGAAATCCTAAGGCATTTCTCCTTAGCAATGATAAAAATAAAAATAGAACCCTTTTTTTATAATGTATTTGTATAATCACTTGGCAACATACAGAAAAACATTTAAAAATAATATATAAAATATATATTTATCAGTTCTGATTCTACCAACTCTAAAGCATTGTTGAGTTGTGATATTTAATTAGAAACAGTTTCAGCTGGGAATCTTTTAAGATTACTTCCTGGTCGAAAACCTTACCAAGCAATTTATCTCCAATCTGTATATGAGAAAACGGAGCCAAAATTAACTCAGGAACCTTCCCGAGGTCATACAATGAGATAGAGGAAACCAGGTAGAACTACTAAATCACTGCTTACTACAAAATAGATCACAATCACAACATGTCTGGTTGACAAGATCTTCCAATGGATGTTGTCAAATTTTATCATGGACATAGCACACCCACATGTTTACAAAAGCCTTTTTATAAAACAATATGATGCCAAGACAAAAGTATGTGATCGGGGTTATAACTACAAAGGAATTTGATGGTAACTGTCTAACATTTGTCTTCATATTTGTTTAAATGTATATAGACATTTTATTAGAATGAATAAA